CGCATTAGGGGCGGGGAAGGAGCGGTACACAAAATTGCCCGATTCGAAGACGTACAAGGCGTCGCGCGCACTTCCAGACGCGCACCTCTGGGCCCAGGCGATGTACGACGAGATCGCTTCGCTGGAAACAAACAACACGTGGCAGGTGATCAAACGCGAGAAGCACATTCACGTGCTCCGCAACAAGTGGGTTCTCACAAAAAAGATGAATGGAAGCGGGTCCATCGAACGCTACAAAGCAAGGCTTGTATCAGGAGGTGACGATCGAGTGCTTGAACGATACTACAACCTGACATTTGCATCTGTCTTGGACATGCCAAGCGGCAAGATCATTCTCGCGGTCGCCCGGATCTGGAACGTGCGCGCGCGACACTTTGACGTCCTGAGCGCCTACCTGAAGGCCTACAAGGAGGAGGAGATCGAGGTTCACATGCGCGTTCCAGAAGGAATGACGATCAGTGATAGTCAGCAGCAGAAGCTTAACGTGGAGAACGCCGGCGAAACGTGCCTGTGGCTCATCAAGAGCCTTTACGGGCTCAAGCAGGCTGGCCGACTGTGGGACCAGTTACTCGACCAAACTCTGAAATACGCCGATTTCTCACAATCAGTCACGGACTCATGTGTATACGTGAATCCAACAGCCGAAGGCACGACAGTAGTGGGAGTGTATGTCGACGACCTGCTTGCAACCGCGACGAGCGACGAGCTGCTTGACGCCTTTGGCGCGGCGATGCAGAGTCTAGAGCTCAAGTGCCTCGATAACTTTCTGGGCATGCGCATCGGGTAGGACGACTTGCACGGGTACGCCGTCGACCAAGAGCAAATAATAACCGAACTACTTCACACGAACCGTCTGGAGAAGGCGAACGCAGTGCGCTTACCAAGGAGTGACGAAGCGTCGATCGAGTCAGAGTGCACCGACGCGCAGCCGCTTCCCGACTGTGGAGCCGGCACTTCAGAACGACCGACGATCAAGAGTTTCCAGGTCCTTGTCGGGAGCCTGCTGTGTGTCGCACGATGCAGGGGACCCGACATCGCGTACGCGGTTCAACGCGCGACACGCCGCAGCCACGCGCCCAGCGACCACGACATGTAGCTCGCGCATCGAACGCTGAGGTACCTCGCTGGCACGGCTGCACTGAAGCTGCACATGGGCGGCGTGTCGAGTGCTAATGAAGTGAGACTCACTAGCTACACCGACGCGGATTACGCGGTCGACAAGGCCACGCGAAATTCGATCAGCGGTGCGGTGCTGCTCGTCGACGGGATGTCCGTTAGATGTCAAGTCAAGCAACAGTTCTTCAGTCGCGCTCTCAGCTGCGGAAGCCGAGTTCGTGGCAGCAGCTGTTGGTGCGAAGGAGCTCCTAGGCATAAAGAGCCTACTTCGTGAGATGAACGTGAGTATGAAGTTGCCGATGCAGATGATGGTAGACCACCAAGCTGCAAACAAGAAGATCGACAACAAACCGTGTCGAGCGCGCAGAATCACGTCGACGTGCAAATGAAGCTCGTACGCAACACGAGCTCCAAAGGCATCGTGAAGCCCGAGTACCTCGCGACCAACGAGATGATCGCGGATCCATTGACGAAAAGTGTCCTGGCGCCAAGAGTGGCCGACCTACGTGAGATGCTGGGATCGCGGTAAGTGCGGTGCCGCTGGAGGAGTGCTGGAAGACGAGGCACGGCACCTGACGGGAAGGGTGGAGAAGCTGTGCGTAAGAGAGAAAGTTGAGCAGATGTGCGAAAGAGATACAGCGGAGACAGCGTGCAGCTTGCAGAACTCCTGAGATAGTGAAGAGCATCTGCACGCAGTGTATAGTGAGATCAATAGTATATTTTGCGCGAATCTCAATCACACAATACCGTCTGGAACGACCGCATCGACCGCGCACTCGTTTCTTTCTTTGCACGCGGATGCAAAGTCAACAAACCGAATTTAACCCACTTGGTCCTGGATTTCCCGTGAGCCGCCGTCAAAAAAGAAAAGATAGAGGCTACGACCGCAGACTAGTTGCTGGTGAATAATCGGCCCAGGCTGCTCGATCAGGCTCTCAGGCAGTGCTCCTATCACGGCTCCATTTGAAGCATCTTGTACACTTAAATCGTACTCGTATGTCAGCAACTGAAATTAGCGCAATGCATTGTCGACCCTAGCATTGATTATAGCCTGTAGCGTGGACTGATCCGCATCTTGCTCACGGAGAAGCCGTAGGCGCGCGCATCAAATGGTATGGATCGTAGTCGCTTCCGTTAATCGCCATAGAGCGCTGTTCACCTCAAACAAGACGTCACGATTTTCATTACCAGCCGCATTTAGACGGTCGCATACCGCCTGCCAAGCGCGTGACGGCGTGTCGACAACGACCAAGCTAAAACACGGTTCGAAGAGAACCTCCGGCACATTCTCCCTTAGCCGTCGCCATCCGGCACCAAATTCACCTCACGCCACCTTCGCCACCGGGTTTTCCCAGAAGACACGCTGGACTGTAGCGGGTACGTCACGCAGGCACAAAGTGTGTGGACAGGACCGGTCATTGTGCACATAATTCTAGAGATTAAGCTTATTCGCCTTAATTCTGTAGATCGTATGTACCGTGGTATCCCCCACTCCTATCACTGCGCGGATGTTACTCCACTAGAGCTGCTCGACCAAGTTCTCCATGTCACTGTTGGTGACAGCCTGCTCAGCGATCGCTCGGTCTCTGTAGTGCTTCCATTCCTAATCTCAATGTATTGCCGCGGCCGCCTCGTACGTCTTCCACTTGGGACGCCATCCCGCGCCTATGTGCAGCTGTACGAGTCGAGACAGTGCCGGGTGTTCGTGAAAAAGAAGTTCACGGCTGCCGACGTCGGATATATCTTGTCTCTCGCAGTCATAGCGCGACTAGACTGGACGTGCCGGCTAGTCTAAAGTAGCGTTCGAGTAGATGACACCGTCTGCGTTGTCGGCGAGGATCCACGAGTGATGTCAAGACACGCCTGTTCCTATCCGCCTCAGGTGCGTCGTTGCGTGAGGCCGAGGCACGATCTCCGGATAGTTACACACCATAGCATTTCATAAATCTGACACTGCCCGCTGCACCGCCTGAGTGCGGGTTTGCCGTATCTCAAACCCGATCGTTCCATCTCCCATCCACGCCCAGCTGAGGAGGCCGCGAAGCTTAAGCCATTTGTCTCTTTTCCGCGTTAGGCTGATATCTAATGGCCCCTCTTTGCCGTTAATAATCCAATGTCGCGTGTCTAGTTGCACGCGGTCGAGCCATTCAGGACAAAAAATTCCACTCAGCCGTCGACGCCGGAAAATAACTGCGTAAGAGGGCTTATCGTGTCGCTATCGACGACTACTTGCAAGCTATCGCCCTCCCATTGTGCAGCGTACAGATGTCGCCGAAAGAGAGACTCCGTAGTAGCCACAAAACCAGCACGTGATGAATCGATAGTGGAGAAGTGCATGTGACGCACCATGTCCGCCCCATTTGTCCTCATGGTGTCCGTGACCCGAAATTCTGCCCGATGCGCACCCTGAATTGCCGAAGTATGATGAAAGTCGACTCCCACTCGAGCTACCAACAAGATGTCGCCCAAGATCCGAGCCTGACCCTTCGAACCTGCCGCCCATTTACCCACAGCTGTGGCTGTCATCGCCAGCAAGTCCATCTCAACGTAAGGCAATGCGAGGCCTCCATCGCGAATACAAAGACCGGCATGCGCCTCGCCCATCCACGCTCGAGCTGGCGATCCAGCTCGCATCCCCAAGACGAAACAATTAACCAGCTGTTGTAGTCAAGACACGATACTTCGAGCTGGCCACGAGTGTCGGGTCAGGAACGTGACCTTAGGAACGACAATAGCTGCCGCCAGCTTTTCAAAAGCATCCAGAAGTTTACCAAACATCGATCGACACACGGTGCATTTGATACTCATGATATATTCGTCACGATCGGCAGTGAACTGCAGTGAGTAAGATATTGTACCGGGGTTGATAGTAGGCAGCGCCATCGACTATATATGTAAAATGACAGATTTATGCGAGCATCGCCACCCGTACTCCCGCTTCGTATTTTTTTATTCGACACATTATTGCGATACTGGTGGAGTAGCATGCATATAAAGCACAAGTTAATCTACTTATTGAGCGAGCAGCAGCTATATACAATGTTGACCCGTGCACTGAAACATTGAAGTACTTGCTGGAGTGTCTGAAAATCTCTAGGAGAGGTCTCGATTGGGTGCATGGAGCTAAAACTACGTATATGCGATCAAGCAGTTGCATAGGTCTACGAAGACGTGACGTACCAGACGCTACGGCATCTTTGACTTGCGTGTAAAATTAGCTCGATTGCTTTAGTCAAGCGAATGAGGAGCGTGACGGACAATACACATGCCCATTCACGATCCTGATTTGTAAGGAACATCAAGGCTCGACAAACTGAAGTTAAAGCGCAACCGATTCGGTGATCCCGGTCGCTGAGGTAGGCCATCCGTGATACCTGTATGGATGATAGCGAGTAGCTGTGTAGAACAATCGCTAGCCTTTGCGATGTTGTTTCCAGACCCTGGCTGAGGCATTATGGTGTGCATACCACAAAACCGTCAGCTATATTAATTTTAAGATTCGAGCATCCAGGTACAAGCCGAGAATGTGGATTAATGCACACCCGGGTCAATAAATTATCGAATGTGGGAGATGTTTTCCGAATGAGCCCTCCGCTCTATTAATATACCTCAAGCTCTCTACGGTAATACTAATCAGTGAGGCAGCTGTTCAGGGACGTGACAAACATGCACTTGTCTAAATTTATACGTTTGTGACTGGAAGGCTTTGACAGTAAATCGAGGGTATCAATTCTACCAGCCAGTTTCATCACGCGTGCAATTTGTGCTCGTCCAACACTCGCTCAGTGCGAATAAAAGTCGAAATGACGGGACAGTGGCTCTACGAAAAAACAAATATGCACTGAACAACGCAATGATCGAGAAATTACGACAACTTCGTGTTCTCATTGATACTTCTGATTAGAGGATTCTTTGACCCGGACAAACTTCACGTAGTTCGCACGAAGACCCTCGAACGCTTCTTCGAGGTCTCTGCTCGCATGCTGATATAACCCGGCGGAGATCTCCTCGGCCGAGTAGCCGTCGTCGTACCATTTGTTGAACAGCCTAGTCATCTTTTTCGGGTCGGTTAGCGCTCGGTGAAGTACGTGCTCTACGAACACCTGCCCGTCGCGCGGATTCTTCACCCAGTCTCTGTGGTGTCCAGTACCTTCCGTGGAGGAGTAGTGCGAGTCAGATGCTCGCAGATGTCGTTCACTCTCCTGGGCCACAACGACGATAGGTGACGAGTCGCCCGTCACCTGAAAGTTCGCTTCGCCCACATCAGCAGTTGCTGTTGTCCAGATGGCCATGCTGCTCGAGGCAACAGCCACCACAAAGAAGAGAGGCAGGTGCATGGGACTTTTTGACCGGGCTTGGATGGTGTCACGCGGAACGGCAAATTCGGAAATGAATCTTCACCCGGGACCTCATTGCGGGCGATCACGGGCATTGATGGAAAGGACACTTGCTTGAACTGATCCAGTCGGATGTGGTGGATGGGAGGCCTCAGTCGCAAACAACATTCTATGCAGCGTCATCACATCACCATCGCAGTAGCATGCAAAGCATACGTTGTGCCGCTCCCCGAGGGAAAAGGAGTGCGTTTGTGGACGCAGCAGTCGAAGCAGCCTCGAGATAGCTACCTGAATCTACGAGACGAAGGGTCCGATGCTAAGCTTGTTTCGGCAAAAGGGGCAGCGTTGTCGGGGTCACTTGCCGCTCACACGTGCACGGTCCATGCACGGACGATCAGCCTGCGCCCTTCCTCCTTCCTCCTTCCCCATCCGAGGGAAGGGACAGCTCCATAGTGGAGAAACTGTACGTTGAGAGGCGGCACCTCTGGGTGTGGATCAGGCAAAAAGGAGGAAGCGATCCACCTTACTACTTGAAGCCACGTGGTCACAGAAGGAGCTGGCTCCGCGTCCAAGCGTCCTCGGTACGGCACCAGGTGCAGGTCTAGCTAGTCACTGATGCCACTCAAAGTGCTTGCTGCTACGTGCGCGCAAGGACCTCCTTGAACAGCATTCTTCCACCCTTCCAGACGGCTTTCTTGATCCCTTGGTGATACGTTGGTTGTAGTACGCACGGCGGCCATGTCTGTCTCCTGCCAGACTGGACACTCTGTGCTCCGCCATCTGCAGCCATTCGGCGCGAACCTTCGCACGCACCTACCGGACGTTCGTGTGAACTGCTCCGTACCAATTGCAGACACTCATGTGGCGTCCCATGAAATCAACTGGATGCGGATTCGGGTGGCGGGGACGACACGCAACGAGTCCGTCGTAGCCACTCGAGCAGAGACAATGTGAGAGGTTCAGGTTCTGTACTCATAGCGTGGGACAGGGGAAGTCACGCTCGTATAGAGCTCCGCATATCCCACTCGCAGCAGAGGCTCTGTCTTTGCTCGGAACACCACTGCCGCCCATGTCTGTGGCTTCCTTGGCCACTCCACTCACCTTGGACGAGTTGCGACTGCTGCTACCGCTTCGGCACATCTGTCGCACTGTACGCGCAGAGGCAGTCAGCAACTCGGCGGGCGGGCGCACGAATCGTCGAGCTGAAGGCGCGCGTGAACATTTATGCATGGTCAAGAACCTCGTGGCATTTGTCATGGCGGGGAAGACACATGCGGCGCCAAGCTACTTGACAGCGTCCCGTTTGGGGCAGGAGAGCGCATGGCTGTGCCTGTAAGTTGTAAAGCACTGGCCGCCTTTTAGGTATCCATCGACACGAGTACCAGTTCCAGTGATAGCCAGTCTTGCCCTCTCCGTCTTTGCCACGAGCACTGGGACGCCACCGCTGCAAACTTCAAAACTTTACGCTGTTCAATCGAGACGGTCTACCAGTCCAGCGCTTGTGGGTGACAGTGGTCAACCAGGACAGGTCCAGCACCCGCGCTGTCGTCCATTTGGATATCAAGAAGCAGACAGACCGATCCTGGTGTCGCGCTATTCTGTTGCCGAGAGTCTTAGTTTGATCGCTGTATCGCGTGAACGTTATACGCTTTCGACGCAACTTATCTTGGAGCTCTTCGCTACCACACAAAAAGACGTGCGTCAAGTCCCCAATTGCAAAATAGCGGTGACAAAAGAAGAGGATGGCAGGTGTCGAATAGGTCCCCCTATCCATCTTCGATCCGTATCAACCGACACCACTGCCCTAACGCTTTTATCTACCCTACCTTACACTCCAGTTCACCATCGTTGATCACACTTGGGATAATAAACATCTCGATTCTTTCCGACAAGAAACGAAAAAGCCCGATGTTTGCCATCCCCCTCGGATTATCCAGTGCGTCTCCACCAATCACGCTCACTGACGTCGTCGAACCAGCCACGTCGCCCATGACATGCACCACCACGAGCCCGCGGCGCTCCTTCGACGCGTCCGTCTCCGTCCCGCATCCCACTGCGACGGCCACGAGTGCCGTCTCTGCTCTGTCTCCGCCTCTGCGTGCGCTGTGCTCCGGTGCTGTCGCTGGGATCGTCGCCGACTCGATGCTGCATCCCCTCGAAGTCATTAACTTGCGCATGAAAATCCAACAGCAGCCAAGTCTCAAGTATAACGGTCTGTTTCGCGCGGTGAAGACGATCTTCAAGGAAGAAGGCGTACGTGGCTACTTTGGTGGCATAGGCACGACGGTCATGACTTCGCCCGTGTGTGCGGCGATGTATTTCAGTACCTACGAGACGCTCAAAGCCACAGCGGCTCCCTTAGTGCCGGACGAGCACCGGGGCGTAATCTATTTTCTCGCTGGAGCTGCAAGTGAAGTGCTGATTTCGGCGGTGAGTGTGCCGTCGGAAGTGGTCAAGTCCCGCTTGCAACTGGGCTGCAACCCTTGCAACGCCAGTGGAGGCGCAGTCAAGTATACGCAGAACTATCGAGGCACAAGGCATGCCGTCACGTCTATCATCCGGTCAGAGGGACTCCGAGGACTCTACGCGGGCTACTCGGCGTGTCTTGGTGTTGACACGTTCTTCTCGGCCTTTTCGTTCTTGTTCTACGAGACGCTGAAGCACCGGTACGAGCAGTACTTGGCTGCGAAGGACAGGAAGCGGCCGTTGAACTCGGCCGAGTCGCTAGTTGCAGGGTCTGTGGCAGGTGGCATGGCTGCGTTCTTGACGAACCCGTTGGATGTTATGACAGTGAGATTGATGACGCAGGGCAAGAAGAAGCAGTACGCTGGAGTACGTGACTGTTTGATCAAGTCGATGAGCAAGGAAGGGCCAAGCGTTTTGTGGCGAGGCACGACGTGCCGAGTCGTGTCCATCATGCCTACAACTGGTATCTGCTTTGGCGTGTACGAGACGATTAAACACACGGTCTTTAATGGAGACGTTGACGACTTCGACTTGGCGTGACTTGGCACGACTTTCGAGTCGACCAGTAGATAGATAGTAGAGCGTAATGTTAAATAGTCGATTAGACGACTGCATTCGCTTGATGGGGCCTTAGGGGTCTGTGGTGCACTCCAAGCGTCCATCAGCTTTACTCCGTCATCGACGTAACCACCAAGCAAGTGTATGCACGAGATAAAGGCCCATTACGATCCTGGCTCCGCTCACTACAACACGAGAGAGAGAGAGAGAGCGACACGCACTCAACTTGGGCCGCTGCTGACAACCGGGGGAAGAGACCATCGAAGTTCTCCAAGCAGCCACCACGTGTGTCGGTCGGTCTGTCCGCCTGGCTCTACGCCGTGCGCTGAAAGTGGTGCTCATCGATGGTCGAGTACACATGCCCCTCACTGATGAGATAATTGAGTGCACTCTGGAGCTGCGGTTCGGTCATTTGGCCCCGCAAGCTGTTGAAAATGTAGTCAATCTTGAGCCCATGGTCGCTCGTGCACGTGCTCAGGACGTCGAGAATGGCCTTTTGATCCGGCGAAAAGTCCGACAGCGTCGTCCTGCTGTCGTCCATGCCCCCGCCGTAGCCTCCATAGCCTGCCCCACTGCTCGGCTGCTTCCACTCGTCGCCTGCACCTTTTGTCGGTGTCTGGAACGACGTCATCGAGACGTCAAGTTTCCCAGCGTCCGACGCCCTGCGGCCCCCTTTTGTGTTGCAACAGTGGACGTACAGCACCTCCAAAAGGTGGTGCGTGAGCTCGTTCATGTCGCCCAGCGGCGCGACATGGAAACACGACAGACTCGTTTTGCCCTGGAACGTCCGCAGTTTGCCCACGACCTGCACGTAGCTGCCTTCGCGCAGCCGATTGAGTTCGCTGTCGCTCGCGTCCGCGTCGTCGAGCGCTGCCAAGAAGTACTGGCAATCAAAGCAGCCCGAGCCGTCGTCCAATTGGAAGCGGAGACTCGTCGAGTGCGGCGTCAGGTTCGTGAGCAGTCCCACGAGCCGCACGCTCGAGATCTCGTGGCCGTCGAGCGTCAACGCGTCGTCGTCGGGGGACGCCGCGCTCGAACTCTTTTGCAGCTGACTGATGGCCACTGGCACGAGGCTTTGCACGGCGTTGCTGCGTTTCGTAGGCGTCGTGGACTGACTATTGCCAGTGGGCTGTTGACTGGACATGAAGCCGCCGCCGCCGCCGCCACTTGTGGCGGAGTAGTCGTCGGTGCCGTACGCTTCGTAGCCGCCGCCGTAGTTCATGACGACGGAAAGAGCGCTTGGCGCCAATTGATTCGAAATGGCGCCAAGAGCGATAGTTGGCTGATGGACGACGGCTTGGGATGTTTTGGTCGATTTGTGATCGAGTTGGTGTCATTTGTGTCATTTGTATCATTTGTGTCGCTTTCGCTCTCTCTCTTTTTTTTGTGTAGTGGCGGAGCGACTGGAGAATCGACGGAGAGACTATTATTGTCTTTGTGTGTGTGTGTGTGTGTGTGTTTTGTGGCCCACAACAAGCGAGAGAGAGAGAGAGAGAGAGAGAAGAGAGAGTAAAGGAAGTGACTCGACCTGTTACTTCATGTGCAAAACAAGTTGTCCACACGTGCATTCCCGATGCACGCTGTGGTCAAATGTGCGTGAGAGGTGTTGGCAAAACTGGATCTGCTTTGCTTTACTGGCACTTGTCGATTCAAGCCGAGGTTGAACAGATGTACGAACAAGCCTGCACGAAGTGAGCTCGATTGCGTCCAGCTAGACGACGAAGCAATCGTTCTTATATCGTGAAAACGCCGGTGAGTATCGCATTAGTTCTGCATTGCGCTCTTAGCAGTCTGGACTACGCGGCTTGTTTCCGATCAAAACGTTTGTACCAGCTGTAACGATGCGCCTGAGAACCTGGAAGGATCTTGCTTAGACATGAACTACTTCGCATATTTGCTAGATTGCAGCACGCCTACTTCAGTCTGAAGGACTGTGACGTGACACCCGAGCTCGACCTGTTTGGTTTTGACCCACAACACATATTTCCTTGAGCGAGACGATCGTCATGCTCCTTGGTGTTTCTACTTTGATGGGTCCCTGCAGGCAGGATAGTCCGTCCGTGCTAGACGGTATCATGTCCCTTGACACTGTTTGAAAGTCTCAGTAGCAACGCTGCTCTCCCGTTGTTCGTCTAGGAGTCACTGGACGGTGTGGCAAATTTCACACACTGTCTGAGAACGGGCACATTTCGTAGCTGAGTGGGGCGGCCGCGAACCTCATGCCTATCCTAGTGCAGTGATGCGATTGCCACTGTGTGTGGTATATTGCTACCGGACTTGAGCATCGCTTTGCCTTGCATGCGATAAGCGGCTTCTAAGCAAAATTCGATCATCATAAACGAACTTCGTACTACATACTCGCGAATGTACATCGTAGTCAATGAAAATGACTGGCGGTAGACAAAACCCTGTCGGTTTTCGCGTACACTCAACGACTGGAACAGTAGAAGTCAGCGAGCACTTCATCCATGGTAGATCACGCTAGCGGTTTTTGTGTGGCTAGCAGCAGTCTTACCAATCTAAGGTTGCATAATTAAGAGGATTTGCGTCAACCGCAGACAGCGCACAACTAGCTTTGAGTGATGCTATGTGCTCGGCAGCGCAAGAATGGAAGTTGGCGTCGCGAGTAATCCAGATGGATCGGCGCGTCTGGCACAGTGTCATGTTTGCATTTGACTGATGCAACTGTATTGATCCGGAACGCCGCTAGTGCAATGTCCGACACTAGCAGTTTTGCTGCAGTACGACTCATCTCTACAACGAGAGGGGACAGCGGCAGGCAAAGATCAATGAGCAAACACAGGCAGCAGGCAAGATTCATTGAGTAGAATGATGTTAGGAGAACAAGACGTGCCGTAGATATTCCAGCGACCAACGAACAATTTCCTTTCGCAGCCGCAAGCACCTTATCAACACCGAGATAATGGAGGCCCACACGATCTTCGTCAGCGCATTGTCGGGTGAGAAAGACGCCCTTGCCTTGATACGTTCTTCATCGACCACATTGTTTACTATGATGCTCACATCTTCTCATTCGCATACCTTTGTCAGAACGACGCGTGCACTTGACGGTATCTCATTGTCAGTAGAAATACTGTGCTTGGATTGAACGACGGCACACGCTATTTGCACCGTAGGTTAACGGATACGCATTACAAGCTGACACATAGCTCGTCTGCAATCATGTCGAGTCAAGATGAAAAAGACGGCCGTGTCACGGGGTGGCCCTGTTACATGATATTGACATCAACAACGTCAACGTGAATAATTATTTTCCTTTGCGGATGATAGCCGAGACTAGTAGTAGGTGGTAATGCGTGTCGTAGATGGTGACATCGGTATCAAAATCGCAAGGCAATGGGACCACCCATAATTGCTGGATCCGCAAAAGAGTGGTGTGTGAGCAAGGTGTCAACGCACATGCTCGTGGCGTCAATTTGTGAACAGGTCTAGCAGATACCGTACCATTGGCTTGACTGTATTGAGTACAGCCCACTATTTGAGTTTGACAAGCGAGACCGTTTCGTTGATGGCGCTTCCTCTACTCTTCCCGTGGAAGTGAGGATGCGATGCACCTGTCCACGCTGTCACCAGTGTCAACAGCTTATGCTGTCATCTGTATGAGCGTAGGGTGCTTGAGTTACATACTGTAGTAAAGCTACATGCAAGAGTCGATGACTAGGTCCTAGGATCAGCATATTGAGTCCGCATGTAAGCACGCAGCGACGTATTCGACCTCGTGTGCGTCTGTTCTTGGCACAACCTGCATTCCCTAATGGTCCGCTGCGAATTGTTCTTACAAGAACACACACCAGGGTCTGCTATCGATCGAGCAGGACACTGCGAGCCCTGGGTCGACCCCAAGAACTGGACATTGCAGATATCACCCAATAGCAACGCGCTGCTACATGCTGTCAGCACTCGGCTCTTGTAAACAAGCCAGGGCCGAGACATAGCGTGGGCATCTTCTCCATCGACAAATCGCGCAGCATGAGACGCATTAGACACACGACAGTTTCGACGAGTGAGCCCGAAGTCGGTCCCCATCATCCACGTTCTGCTCTAGGATTCGTCATCGCCATTGAAAAGATGCAGCAGATAGAGCTCGGCGTGATCGAGCTGGCAATGTAGGTACACTCTGGCGGATCGAGACGCTTGATACAATGTGGAGAAAAGTACGTTCAATGGATTCAACCTACGACTTCAAGACCGCTGAACGGCGACCCGAGGACGTAAATGATGCGATGTCAACCATAGACGCAACGAGACTTTCTGATCCACTGCACAGACGCCTGTTTTGTTGTGTGTTTTGCACATTGGTGTTGCACCGAGTACAGCGCCTGGACCAGCACATGCATAGCGGTATCTCCGAGCTTCTCTTCTTTCTTGGAGACACTTCACGGCCACGAATAGACTGCTGTGGTACCAGTCGCGGCCATGTAGCCAGCCACCCGCGGATACACATTGTCGACCAGTCCATCGACGTCGTGGGCATTCCCGCTGCAGCCTCAGCGCGTTCAAATCCTGACGCTTTGACAATCATTGAGAGTCTCTTGTAAGCAATAAAAATCTGGTTTCGGTCGACGGACCGGATTCACGAGCTCAGCTGAGCAGAGCGGAGCGGACCTGAGCTCCACTCTTTCCCCGCATTCTCTCTTTATAGCTCTGCTGCGCTCGTGCCTCCACTGCGATCCATTCGAATGGGAACTGCATGTAGCCCGAACAAGAGCGACCTCATGGCGCGAGTGTCGTTCATAAGTGCCGCCTCGCGATCCAAAGACGTTGAGCAGGAAAAGCACTTTGCGCAAGTGCAGACGCCTGAGCATACGGCGGACATTGAGGGCGGTGCACTCCGAGAAGGCGAAGCTCCGAATCTCAAAAGCAAAGACAGCTTCGGTTTGCTGGTCCAGTACGCCGCTGTTGGGCTGAACTACGGCGTGCTCCCCGCCACGATTTACCCGTTCCTGCAGAACTACATGAACGCTTCGGGGACGCAAATCACCACTGCCTCGACGTTGGTATTGCTGCCCTGGAGCTTCAAGTGCTTCTACGGTATCCTGTCGGACTGCAGACCGCTATGGGGATACCGTCGTCGGCCGTGGATGGTCATTGGGTGGCTCGTTTGCCTCGCCATGCTACTCACCATGGCCTGCATGCCAGCAGGGGACCCGTACTACACTGTACCAGCTGACCGTGGCATCAAACCGGCCGATATGACACCCGCCATCCAAGCGCGGATCAACTACGACGCACCTTCGCAAGCGGGCAAGTACGTCCTGCTCATGTTTATCGCGGCCGTGGGCTACGTGATGGCCGACGTCTGTGCCGATAGTATCGTCGTGGACTTTGCCCAGCGCGAGCCCCTCAAGACGCGAGGCAAGACCCAGTCGGCCGTGTATGCCGTCCGCACAGTGTTTGTCATTCTCGGTCAGCTCCTGACTGGTTTCTGCTTCAATGGGAAAGAGTTTGGCGGCGACTTTGACTTTTCCATGACGTTCCCGCAACTGATGCTGATTGTTGCCGTGTTGACGGTGCCAGTGATTCCCATGACTTGGTTCTACATCAAAGAAGAGAAGACGTCTCGGGTGGACTTCAAGCGCTACATGGTCGACCTCTGGGGCCTCATCCAGAAACGCGCGATCTACCAGATCATCTTCTACAACTTCTTCCATACCATGTTCACGAGCATCTCGTACACGGCTGCCTCCCCTGTGCAGTCCTACATAGTGCGCGTCACGCCTATCAACAGCACAATCAGCGATATCCTCGGCAGCGTGTTGTTCCTCGCCGGCATCATGATCACGTCCAAGTGGGGCTTGCACTGGAACTGGCGCTACATGATCATATTCACTGGCGGTCTGGTCCTCCTTGTCGACGGCATCGCGACTTTTATCACGGTCTGGGACGTGTTCCGTAGCCAGTGGCTCTGGCTCGGACTGCCTCTGACCGTACAGCTTCCGGCCGGCGTCGCTTTTGTGATTTCCGGTTTTGTGGTGGTGGAGCTCTCTGGTGTTGGTAACGAGGGCGTTGTCTTTGGCCTCGTCACGATGGTCGCCAACTTATCGTCCCCGTTTGCGTCCGCCTTGACCCTGATGCTCGATCAGCCGTTCGACCTGACCACGGAGCGCATCCAAGCTGACGACGCAGCGGTTCGAATGGACATCTCGTACGCTGTGATCATCATGTACGCAATGTCCATCTTCTCGTGGGTCTTTTTGGTTTTCCTGCCACCTCAAAAGGAAGAAACGCAAGAGCTCCTGCGTACGAGTGGCAGCAGCAAAGTCATGGGCGCACTCACTGTTGCATACCTCACGTTTGCATTCCTCTGGTCGCTAGCGACCAACACGATGGCCATGTTTGACTCCACGTCGTGTCTTTTCATCGCTGGTGGTAGCGGCTGCTAAATGGACTACGATTGTTTATACTGCAGGCTCTTTTTCCAGCGTCGTGCGAGCGAAGGCGACGAGACAACGTCTGGTTTCATGCAGGCCTGTACGTTGACAGTACTGTAGGTCTCGTGGTCGTTCCTCGTCGGGCGATACTTGTTCACAATGTACACTACTGCCCCATGTACTCCTACGTTTCAATATTCCGGCAAGATATTTGCATTGCGAGAACCGCATCACTTTGTCGTGCGAGTCGTCCCCACACATAGGGGTACATTGCGTGGTGAAGCAACACGCTAGGTGAAAGCTCTGGCAGAACGTACCGTGGTCTTCTCGCACGCCACTGTTGTCGAGAGCACCAATGGCAGTCTGTCCTATTCCTTCACAACGAAGACCGACTACGTGGTTCTGTCATCTTCGACCAGGCTCTTTGCCAGCGAGTGCAGTTCGTTCATAGGTGTAGACAGACCATGCTTCGATCTGCGAGTGAATACCGACATTAGCAAAACGTACGCAAAACCAGCTACAGAAGTGCGACACCACCAGCGGAACAAACGTTCATGACGTGCAAATCGGCTCTAGCAATATGCCCAGCAACTAGGTGAATGACGCTGTTGGATCAGGACACACCAGTGAGCAAGAGGCACAATTGATGAGGACTTCGCACTGCAAAAGCGATGAGCGGTTTCATGACTTCGACTCATGAGTGTGGATCGGAGAGAAGATCATAATCGATAGCAGTAAAGATGAACGATTCTTCCATTACGTTGTTGACTACCATAACTGTTGGTATCATGAACTAACTCGAGACACGAAGCGAAATGACACGCAAGGAGTTTAAGAGCTGCATCGATCGCTTATTAGTCGATCGCGTAGCTCAGCTATACAACTTTTACAACCAGACATGACATTCGGATCAACAAGCCACTTTTTATTTGCGAGAAGCAGAACTGTGGTTGAGCGAGTCAGTTTGTTACGGTGGTTCACTTTGGTGGTGTCGACACGAAGAAGAACGGGTAGCGTAAATACACGTACCTTGTTCGGGGTCCCACGAGCACAAGTCGTTGATACTAAGCCTGAGTTTTGGAGCTACCACCTGTCAGCCACCCAAACAGGTCGGTGTACTGTTTTTACTATCGATAGGTAGTAGGATCCTTGTATTTGAGGTACTTTGCTGATATGAAGTACGGTTTTAACAGCCAAACGAAAGCAGCAGCTCGCGTCATGAGCAGAAGAGTGCAAGACTTGTGAACGGGTGTTGCGCTTACGCATTCTGTACAGTTGGTCATTGAGTCATTTAGTATGAATGGAACTGGTTGAAGACTTGTTGCGTCGTCATCTTTTAGGTGCATTTGATCTTGTTGCCTCGTTGCGCCATTGATTTGGTTCTACAAACGAAAGGGCTCTTAGAGTCCAGAACCTTCCTTTGGCAAGCTATTGCAGCCCCGCAATACAAAACGGGGTTGGACTCGAAAATCTCAGCTTCTCATAAATCAACATGCGATCGAAGATCTACATGACAAAGCCATCGAGACTACTTCTTAGAAAGACACGTGGCTCTTGCTGCTTCAAGCATGAGCTGCTATATTTCTTTCTTGGTATTTATAAAACGGTTATCGACCTTGACAAACTACGTTCTTGTTGTGTTCAACTTATCTAGCATCGTCAAACCAACTTAAACTTACTTCGGTATCTGGCGCGCGTCAATCCCCGACTCTCGTTCATCGTGCACATGAGTCACGTATTCGGAACAACCTCAAACATCCGCTCTTTTGTTGGCGTCTCCCTGTCTCACGATTGGATCGAAACTGGGTCTAGAATTCGTCTTGTCGGTTCAACCTTCCCCGCCGTTCCGTCATGAATAGGACTGGGCGACTGAGCGACGGGGCAGCATCGTGAGTGTTCGTAGAGGTCAGTTCGTGCCGGACGGTCAATACGGTCCAATCGCGTCCGCCGTCGGGCTGGATTAGCTTTTCTCGCGGAGCTGCTGGAGCTCGACGGGGCATCGAAAGGCGAGCGTCGGAGTTGGAGCTGCGCACCTTGGGCAGTTCGAAATGGTCTTTTGCGCACACCCTAGCCATCATCGTAGCCATCATCGTAGCCATCATCGCTACGCGTGGGGGTACCTCAAATGGCCCTCAATGGACCTATTCGTCAGGAGACTGTGAAACGGGCTTTCTATCGCCACAAGCGCCAGCTTACTCTACCCTTGAAACCTTTGCTGGAGCGATGAGAGGCTAGTATTCACACGGATACGTGGTAACGAGCAGCGGCAAAAAAACAGCTCCCTTCCCAGTGTGGAAGCATGACAACGGGTGCTGCGACTTACAAGTTTGGACGGCGTATCGCGTCGCCACTAAACAACGAAATTTCTATCACGCAGACCGTCTCACTGACAGTAGCTGCCGCGCATTACCGGCGTACTCAGAGTGCCCGACACTTCGAGACAAGAGAGAGAGAGAGAGAGAGAGAATCAGACTATCTATTGCGTACATAGGTCTAGTCGAAGAAATCTGTATGGACATTTGCCTATATCGTCTACCATGGCTACGTCAATCTTCTCCGAGCTGGCTCATCCTGCTAGCTCGAGACGTCGGGCTTCATGGGGGGGGGGCACTCCGCAGAGGGCACGTGTATCCCGTATCCCACCACCGTGTGCTTATAGAGTGCAGAGGGCGCTAGAAGGTGCGGCCATTTACCACTTCGGACATGTTCCAATGCGCCATATTGACTTGTCCCCTGCATGCATCGCGGAGGCTGAATCGAACGGCCATCAACACGGTCAAGGCGATCTCTCGTCGTCGACCGGGCGTCGCGCTCGGCGAACGTGTCGGCATACTGAAGGCGAACGCACAAGAGCTGGAACATGCTTCCACCTTGGGTGCAGGGGATTCAACACCGTCGACGTTCCCCACACCTCAGGATGTCGTGCCCATTGCTCCCCTTCCGGTTCGCACGCAGCATCAGGAAAGCCTCTCACCTTTTACATTGGGCCACACCACAGGGGAATCTCGCCAAAGGAAGGGGCCATTTGGCCGGCTCTTTGGGGTCTTCTTGGCTTGGCCTGTGTTGCTCGAAGCGCCCAAACTGGGAAATGGCCGACGTTTCGAGACAAGTATTTGGGTTGCCGAAAGCGCGGGTGTGCTGTGGCACATTATTTAGACACTCGACTGGCGCTATAGATACTCGACACGTTTGTTCTAGCTGCTTCGGCAGCTGTGTCATCGTCAAGCTCCAGTGATCCCGGTGCATCAGCGGTCTAGACTGCTCAAGCAACTTCGGGATGATGCCGCGGCGGGCGAACAGGTGTGACGACGGGTGTGATTTTGTTGAGCTTCATTGGCATCCCGCATTCATGGTGTGATGCAACGACGCCGTGTTTTGCGGCGTGCAGTCCACGACGTGTCAAAGTAGTGTCGTACGTTTCTGGACAACGGGCGTGCGTCAATCATATGCCTTGGCTATGTGTGAACATAGGGGCGCCGCTATCGAACTTCAAGCAGCTCGTTTGCACGCGGGTCTCGAACTGTTTACCTTCCATTCTGGCCAAGACTCGCTGCGTCTCGCGGCCTGCCACGAAGAGCAGCCACACCCGGCACTGTATCTCTGGCTTCAAAATTTTCAGACATCTTGCGTCTAATTGTAAAGGGATTTAGACAGTCATCAATCTCACCCGCGGTTGCGTATACTGGAGTAGTGAAACGTGGCGCGGGGACGCCGTCGATCGTGATCCATATCGTGTCTACAACCCACGCAAAATTTGGGTCGCGCGAGGAGCATGCGCAAGACAGGCCTCGCCCACTTCGGCCCCCGCGATGCGGCTGAGGCGTGATTTGACCGAAGCGTGACCGCAAATATTTGGGAAATAAAGCGACGGGACAGACGACGACGCGACATAGAATGAAAGTGGTTGTGTTGTCCATATCCGTCGTTCGGTCGTGCTCACGAGGTAGCGACAAGCACGTGCCTTCGATCGTCACTTTTATTCATGCGTTCCGTATGTTCGCACAATAACGGTAGCCGTCCGACCACATATAGACCGCGAAGGGAAGCAATGTTCGACGATCAGCAGAAGATGATCCAAATGCTACGTGTGTTGCAATACTTTGAGGCTACTGTCAATTGGTTTTCGGGCGAAGAACGTCGTGGCCATAAGATTCCTATCGACTCCGTCAATGACAGGTCCGTATAGTTTTAGGAGCGTGCCTCGAGCCGATCGTGTAAAAACGGACGCTCTTGGCATCTGCCAAAGGTGGTGGCTCTAGGTTAGTTTGTACCAACTAGACTACTTCGCCTGCGTCAAATCGCATTCGACATGTGCCCAAGATGTGCATCGAGACATAGTACGTCCAGGCAAGAACCAAAATTTGCTTGCTGAAGAATGACAAGATAGATGGTTATCGTCGAACGAACATGCCTGCGAGACAAAGCCTGAAGCTACGAAGACGTTTTTACGAGCGCAGCGACGTCGGATGTCACAACCCCTTGAAATCGAAACGCTTTTACTCATTTGAGCAAGCGATGGCGCCTCCGTCTTTACAGCCTAGTTTGTCTGTCCCATGTAAACATCAAGAATGCCACGCGTTCGATTTAGATTAAGCGACTGGATGCCCAATCAGAATCGAGCGCGGGGCATTCTTAATTATCGAGCACTACTGACGAAGTTGGCATTCCGCATTTTGCCAAGAACCACCGAGCCTTCTACACCACACCAAGCTATCGAACTCATCACACCGTCCGATGAAGGTCAGCCTCTCCATCGTTTTCGCCGCCATGGCCTTCGATCTTGCGTTCAGCCAATCTACAAAAATAGGTAATAATTGTCGCACGAATGGAGCTTGCGCTCCGAAATACTCTGCCGATTATGTTCGTTGGGTTGAAGAATTCTGTGGGTCAAAAGGTGCAAGCTCTTTTTTTAAGGACTACTCAGACTGCTGCAAGTCGTGTTGCACTGAGAAACCGTGGATCCACAATTGCCCGATTGGTAATTAGCGCTGCAGACGCTAATCGGTCCGATG